TACTCTTGGTTTATTAGGTTTCAAACACATGTTAGAGATACTCATGAAGATCCAAAAGATGAATTAAAAATCCACATCAATTGCACCTAAAGTCAACTGGAAGAGAGGACTTTAAGTCCCCGGGCGGGGGGCGGGGGGGTGGGTGGGTAATACAAATCGGCAGCCAAAGGAATAGAGTCTTAGTCAACATATTTCTGTATTCCCCCTAAACACAAATAGCCTCAAACCTTTGAAGGTTGTTCCTCTGAGATGTTTCATCAGTGACATCACAGTGCTTGCCACCTCCCTCAGACTACATTAGGTCCTGCCCAGAGTCTGGGACTCCAGAGAGCCTGGGAGACGAGCAGGAGTTGGAGCCCAAGTTGGAGAAAGAGAAGAAGCCTATCCCAGCCACTTGTGTCCTTGACCCTCCTCAGGTGACAGCAGGATTTTTATACTTAGCATAGTGTGTGTGTGTGTGTGTGTGTGTGTGTACAAGTTGCAAATGAGAAACACTGAGGCATGTTTACATTTCTTAATGAAACAAGCAATACCTATTAGACATAGTATTTTTTAAGATGTAGAGAGTATTATTTATCCTTGCTTTCATTTTTTTCTCTCTCCTGGTATGTGTTTTCTCCCTTTCTAATTCTCAAAGCCTCCATTCAAAGAAAGTCAATGTCAGTTTATTCAGAGCTTTTCTGGTTTTTATTTCACCCATATGGCAATCACTTTGGATCGTATGGTGCGATCTTGACTCCTGGGAAGACTTACGAGGCCAAAATTGTCTTAGTGGGTAACAGCAGAAAAATGGAAGGTTGCTAATCTCAATTTCTGCCTAACTTTGGTATAAATGTGTGTGAAAGTCAAGTGCGCTTCTTACTATTAGCGTATGTGTTGATTAAATTGGGTTCATTAGAAATTCTCGGCTTAACTCTTTGTGCTTTATTCATTTAAATACAAATATTTAAGTTCACCATCAAAGTGCAAAAAATAGTAAGAGGTAAACTGTAGGAAATAAAGAAGTATACGAGGTGGCCCATCAATTCAGAGACTACTGAGAAAAAAATGTAAAGAATCATTAAGCATAATTTGAACAATAATTATAAAGCGACACCTATATACTGTCACCCAGGTCAAGAAAGAGATCGTTGCTGACACCCCAGAAATCCATTCCTGATCATCTCTCCCTTCTGCCCTACCATAGGTAATCACCACCTTGATTGCTGAGATCATCTTGTTCATGCTTTTCTTTATAATTTTACCATTGATCTCAAAGTTCTTTTTTTTTAAAGCAGTTTTTTTTTTTTTTTTAACGTTTATTTATTACTGAGAGACAGAGTGTGAGCAGGGCAGGGGCAGAGAGAAGGAGACAGAATCCGAAGCAGGCTCCAGGCTCTGAGCTGTCAGCACAGAGCCTGACGTGGGGCTCGAACTCACAAACCATGAGATCGTGACCTGAGCCGAAGTCGGACACTTAACCGACTGAGCCAGCCAGGCACCCCTCAACATTCTTAAACGATAGGATTACATTCCTTGTTTTGGGTTTTGTATTAACGGAGTCATACTCTAAGTTTCTTTTGTAAATTCTTCTTTGGCCCAAGGGTTATATTTGTGAGATCCACATATCTTATTGAGCATTCAAATGTATGAAAATACCCCAATTCACCATCTTTTCTGCTGTTGATGAACACCTGAGTTTTTTCCAGCTTGGGGATATTACGAAAATGTTGCTGTGAATATTCTTGGCTGTGTATCCTGGTGCATACGTGCTTGAGTTTCTAGAGTAGAAGTGAAATGGCTGGAGAATAGAGAATTAGCATTATCAGCCTTAATAAAAAAAATGTCAAACCGTTTTCCCAAAGTGTTGAAGATGTACGCAAACTTGGCGTAGTCAGGGCAGTTAACTGCAGTCATAACCCCTTCTTGTATCACTCCTGTGTAGTAACCACATTCTAACAACTACCAGCAGCCTGGCAGTTCTAGTTTGGCCTCTACCTTGCTGTGTGTCATGGCACAAACAACCTAACTTCTCTCTCAAAGTCAGTTTCTCAGCTGGAATAGTGGGGCACGTAAAAATCGTGGTGATGTTTGCCTGAGTGGTAAAGGTCACAGAGTTGTGAAGGTCACACTGACAGAGCTGTGGCCAGCTTTCAATAATATGTTCTGAGTATGTTGCTCTTGGGCCAGTCTCCATGAATCCTTCCTTTTCTTTTCTTTTCTTTTAATTTTATTTTTGAAGTGTTCTTTTTTTTAAATTAATTAACTAATTAATTTTAAAAATTTACATCCAAGTTAGTTAGCATTTAGTGCAACAATGATTTCAGGGGTAGACTCCTTAGTGCCCCTTACCCATTTAGCCCATCTCCCCTCCCACAACCTCTCCAGCGACCCTCTGCTTGTTCTCCATATATGAGTCTCTTATATTTTGTCCCCCTCCCTGGTTTTATATTATTTTTGCTTCCCTTCCCTTGTGTTCACCTGTCCTGTGTCTTAAAGTCCTCATATGAGTGAAGTCATGTGATATTTGTCTTTCTCTGACTAATTTCACTTAGCATAATACCCTCCAGTTCCATCCACGTAGTGGCAAATGACCATGAATCCCTTCTTTTAAGAGGTTAATCTACTAAGCACATTTGGTGGGACAGTGATTTTGCCCTCACTGAATCGGATTGATCATTATAAATAGAGTCTCTGTCTCTCTCTTTTTTGCATATCTCTGTATTTCTTCAACATGTACCCAAATTAGTATTCATACCAGGATTTAATTTTATTTAAAAATTCATAGAGGGGCGCCTGGGTGGCTCAGTCGGTTAAGCGTCCGACTTCAGCTCAGGTCTTGATCTCACTGCTAGGCTCGTGAGTTTGAGCCCTGCGTTGCCTGGAGCCTGCTCAGGATTTTGTATCCCCGCCTTTCTTTCTGCCCCTCCCCCACTAGCGCTCTGTCTCTGTCTCTCGCTGCCTCTCTTTCTCTCTCTCTCTCTCAAAAAAAAAAACAAAAAACAAAAAACCCGAAAAACCTTTTAAAAAATTCATAGAGAAGAGTGTGCCTATGATTCTCTTTCCTTTGCCTCCTGGCTTCCTGCCTGGACTTATCACCTTCCCATTCCTGTATGGTCCTGTGTATATTCTAACACCTTCTCTCTACTTCTGTTATCCACTCATTTTCTTCATTTTACTTTCTCCTTCAAGCAAATCTGTGTAAAGAGTTTCATTGACAATTTACTGTATTCTTCATGCTGAGGGCCAAAAGACGGATAAGAATTAAAAGGAAAATGATACAAAAACCAGTGTTTATCAGCCATTTTTTTTTAAAGCAAGATTGAACAACCCACTGGCTATCACCAGCTGATTTGAACTTGTATGTTAATTATACTAACTATTACATACTATGAAGAATGATTATTTAGTTCGTTTGTATAGTTAATAATTTGGTCCATTAATAATACAATAAACACAGTAATTAGAAATCGTAATTCACTCTGGTTAGATAGTTAAGAGTGCCGTTCAGGGTCGAAACTTACTAACAACCCTTCCTGCTCCCCGAACTCCCACCCTTAACAAAATAAACAAAACACTCCTTCCCCCTAAACGTCTTCCCTTTGGAGTATCAAAAATTTTAGTATCTAGATATCTAGAATTTTATCTTTAGTCTTTAATTTCATTTGGTTTGCACGAAGTGCCAATTAGGCCCCCTCGCGAAGGTAATAATCTGATTGACTACATTGCGTGAGTTCTCAAAGTTTGATTTCCCGCATGTACTATCTTACAAGCTATAAAGATACCATCCCTGCTCTTTGAAGTGTTTACAATATAGGCACATCCTGCACTTGACTAAAAATAGCTGGCACAAGCCCTTTTTGAAATAGAAGTACCCATGAGGTTAACACTTGCTCTTTTGACTGAGTGCCTGCTATGCGAGGGACTTCTGGTTGACCCCAGTGGGCTCTATGCCCAAGGTAGGGCTCGCAAGAGGCCACGCAGCTGCTGCAAATGCTTCATATGCTTTCACAGGGTTAGGCGAAGACCTGTGGTGGCCTGAAACTCGAGAGATTATGGCATCCTACTTCTATGTGCAATTCAATGCAAGAACAGATACTGAACCATACCACTTTGGGGGTTTTATTTTGTTTCGGTGACCTGGCTTGTTGGTATTCTAAGAAAAGCAAGCGCGTGCACACACACACACACACACACACACACATATTGAAGAGAGAAAATAGAATATTTTGTGTTTTATCCAAAGCATCTGTACGTTCATCACAGGAAAAAACAATCAGGACTTTGTTGGATTTTTTGGCATTAGGTAGCAAAACCAGGTTCTCTTTATTAGTCAGGGTTCTTCAGAGAAATAGAAGCAATAGGGTGCGTGTGTGTGTATGTGTATGTGTATGTGTGTGTGTGTATGTATGTATGTGTAGGACCTACGTCTAGATGTTCATATTGAGATGGATATAGATAGATATATAGATAAAATTGGCTTATGTGATTATGGAGGCCAACAAGTCCAAAGTCTACAGGGGAGGTCAGCCGGCTGGAGAGCCAGGAAGAAATGTGGCTCTAGTCCAAAGATAGTCTGGAGGCTAGAAACTTAAGATGAAGGTATTGGCAGGGTTGATCTCTTCTGAGGCCTCTCTCCTTGGCTGGTAGGCGGCTGCCTTCCCTGCCTTCACATGGTCTTCATTTGTACATGTCTGCGTCCACACGTCCTCTTCTCAGAAGAACACCAGTCATAATGGGTTAAGGCCCATCTTGATGGCCTCCTTTAAACTGAAGTACCTTTTGAAGGACCCTATCTCCAAATACAGTCCCACACTGAGGTACTGGGTGTCAGGATTCCAACACAGGAATTTTGTTGGGGACACAGTTCGGCCCCTAACACTCTCCTCTTCCGCAGTGAGGAAAGCATGCTCATTAATCTTCCATGTTCTCTGTGTAACTTTCCATTAGGTGAGGACAAGCAGGACGTCTGTGGTGCGCCCTCAGGAGTCTGCCTTCAGTTCTCACCGAGCCAACTCAGAATGGGGATATCCACTCGAGAGCTGTTCCTCAACTTCACTATTGTCCTGATTACCGTTATTCTCATGTGGCTCCTTGTGAGGTCCTATCAGTACTGAGAAGCCATGTCACGCTCCTGGGATTGACTGCATCTCTCCGGAGCTGCCTGCCATATGCCCTGAGCTCCCATTGCTGTCATGGGATGCCTCTCTTGGCACCCCAAGGCACTTCTGACCCGCCCTCACGATATCCAAGGTGCCTCCAGTGTTAGGATCAATTGTGGGTACTCTAAAGATGCTGTTCTCAAGGGCTGCTAAGTATTTGCCAGTGAGCATTAGATTTACTCCTCAACTCTTCCTGCAGATGTGTTAGACAAGCCACAAGGTTAAAACTAAATGATTCATGACGATGTAGAATTGTAACAAGCCCCTGATCTGTCTTACCCACACATCCCTTCAACCCACACTGTCTGCAACCAAACTCTAAATCAACTCACCAGAAGAAAGAAATGTTAGAGGAAGTCGTTGTCAACCCCTATAGCTATCATGTGAATAAAGTTAACTCAACCACAAAATGACTTTGGGAATTTATTTTAGCTTCTATTTGTGATGCTGCATTTGACCCTTGGCTGGGATCGAAGTGACACGTGTTACAGTATCTCTAGCATATGAGATAAACCCAGATGCTCGAACTGCTGAGGATTGGGAACCAAGTCAATTAGGATTTGTCACATTTCAGAGAATTCTGTTGATTCGGTGTTTCTCCAACTTTCTCTCTAAACTAGTCCCAAGGGCAGAGGGAGATTAAATTCCACTCAGAGGTCTGGGGCATGGCCTGAAGTGTCCACTTAAAGCACAGAATTTCTTTGAAGTCTTGTGTTTTACCTTTAAAATTCACAAACAATATATATTGTACCCTGTAAATCCCCTTGTTTGTTTTAATATAAGGGAAGTTATTTGCCACTGAGTAAAACTAGAACATGAAGCAAGTATCTAAGAGAAGCATACTCCAGTTCGCTTATTGTCATTATGCACATAGAGCTAGTCATTCATAAACTGCAGCTGTAACAAGGGGGAAAATTGAAAATGCAAATTTACATATGTGCTTATGAAATAGACATTTTTTTTAAAAAATTTTTTTTTCAACGTTTATTTATTTTTGGGACAGAGAGAGACAGAGCATGAACGGGGGAGGGGCAGAGAGAGAGGGAGACACAGAATCAGAAACAGGCTCCAGGCTCTGAGCCATCAGCCCAGAGCCCGACGCGGGGCTCGAACTCACGGACCGCGAGATCGTGACCTGGCTGAAGTCGGACGCTTAACCGACTGTGCCACCCAGGCGCCCCGAAATAGACATTTTTTAAACATGTTGCTAGAAAGCCCCATCCTAGAGAGACCACATTTGTTCTTTGGCCAATTCCAAGGTGACCATGGAGAAAAGGAATGTTGATGAACCTTGTGTCTCACAGCTCCCTCATGAAGGCGCTCCTGGCCGAGAATTCAGCCCATCTCTGAGGCAACACCTGCCTGGCATTGTGGTCCTCAGCCCTGGCCGCACGGTTTATGTACTCACGGGAGATTTTTCAAAATATTTATGCAAGGTCCTCTTCAGACCAATTAAATCAAAGTCTCAGAGGATTGGGGCGCCTGGGTGGCTCAGTGGTTAAGCGTCCAACTCCGGATTTCGGCTCAGGTCATGATCTCACTGTTCGCGAGTTCAAACCCCACATTGGGCTCTGAGCTGACAGTGCTGAGCCTGCTTGGGAGTCTCCCTCTCCCTCTCTCTCCCCCTCCCTGGTGTGCACTCTCTCTCTGTGTCTCTCAAGAATAAATAAATAAATTTTTAAAAAATCTCAAGAGAGTGGAGCCCAAGCATCTGCCTTTTCCAAAATTCCTCTAGATGATTAGAGTATGTAGCCAGAGTTGGGAACCCCTGACCCCCACTAATACCTCTCAAACTTTGATGCGATGATGAATCACTGGGAATGACGATTCTGATTCCTTCTGATTCTGATTCAGTCTGGACTGGACCTGCGATTCTGCATTTTAAACAAACCTCTAGGTGATGCTGGTGCTATGGTCCAGGGTCTACACATGAATTAGCACGTTAGAATCACCTGGGACCTTTAGAAAACCACCCAAGCTTGAACCCTTTTCCTGGGAATTTCTAACCTAATTGGTCTGGGGGTGAACTTGAGCATTATTCTTTTTCGGGGGATTTCAGGTGATTCTCATGTGCAACTGACTAAGAACCAGATAGAGTGAAGGGAAAAATTGTTATTTTGAGGAGTTCCCAGCAAAAGTTGAGAAATAGCAGCGTATGGTCGTCAACGTCCCGTTCCTAAGGTCAGAGTCAGACTACACATCTGGATGTGCAGTTGTTAATGATTTAGTGTGCAGCGCGTCTCCTCATAGATGCGTGGCTTTGGGGCTCTTGGTGGAAGGTTATTAGTCTTTCCCTTACTCTGAGAAGACCTTGGAGAATCTACTGCTGTTTGTGTATGTGTTTGAGAAGCTGTGTGCATGCTGGTGGAGGGGAATGGGCAAAATGAGTGACAACGATCCCTTCACCTAAGTCAGTACTGGTGCCAACATTCACAACGGGTGCCATTTCTTGAGTCTGCTGTATATGAAGCTCTGTTCTGGGCACTTTCCATACGTTGTGCCGTGTAGACAACGTGGGAGCTGAGGATCACAGATGTACGTGGTGAAGCTAGGGTGACAAGTCTCCTCTCCATCTCTGTTGGGACTACAAACAAATCATGTTTCATCATAGATCTCCCAACCATTTGATTCTAAGTTTTTACCCTCACATTCTTTAGCGTCCTAAAACCTCAGGCTAATTAGATAAAGGTACCAGCTGTAATTTCTCTGCTTGTCAACCCTCGCCTGTCTTTCTGCTGCTCCTCTTTTCCTAACTTGCTGTGACTGGATGTACCGATAGGACCCATTTGCAGACCACATTATGGATCACCTTTGCAGGGCTAGGACATCCATTAGCGAATATGTCTAATTTCCTCCCTGTTCAGTGGTCCCAGTCATTTTGGCTAAATTCCAGTCTGACTTGTAAGTCTCCTTTCACGTATAACTTTCCCCTAGACCTCAGGTATCCCGAATCATCACAGTCCTACCTCAGTGTTGGCCCCACCCACTCAAATAAGATTCTAGTTCTCTGGAACCACAACATTGAATCCTACTCGTTAACTAAAGTTCCAGCTGATGGGCTTGAGCCAACCCTAGCTTCCTTCTCTTTAGCTCATTCATTCAACAAGCACCTATGTGAACCGACGATATGTTGAACATCATACTAGACACTTGGGATAAAATGGCTAATAAGTCAGGTAAGCTCCCGTCTCAAGGAGCATACAATTTAGTTGGAGATATGAGAAAGGGGGGTTACAATGGCATAATAAATTATTTTACAAGAGAAGCTTAGGGTGGGTGTTGTCGCAAGAGATTTCAGGCGGAGGGAACGGCACGAATAGAGTCTCAAAGGCCAGACAGCATGGCAATTCCTGGAAACTGAAGCGTAAAGTATGTCCCCAACCACTGGCAGAAGTTATACCACGTAAGGGCAGAGCTCAAGGCTCTGATTGCATCTGGCTTCCAAGTTGGACCATCTCTGGCTGTCCTCACTGTCATACCACCTCATTCACTGGAAGGGGCCTCCCACCACCGATAATTGTCTGGCCTGTGCCCGTGCTTGGACTTGGGGCCTCAGAACACCTGGCCATAGTGGTGAGGTGGGTTCTCCCCCGTTCCCGTCTCACCCTCGGAGCAGCTCTCTGATGGGTGGGGGGTCTCTTCTTGCTGTGGGACCCAGGCTGCCAATTCAAGCACCTCTTAAAGTTGAACTTTTCACATGATAGTGCCAACCACCCATGTGAATTTTAAAAAGAATCTTGAGCTGCTGGCTTAGGCTCTTCTTCCAGTCTTCCTTACACTCGCTACTAAATTGGACATCTTTTTGTCTAACAATTTTTTTTAAGTTTATTTATTTTGAGAGGGAGAGAGAGAGAGTTCAAGCAGGGGAGGGAGAGAGAATCCCAAGCAGGCTCCATGCTGTCAGTGCAGAGCCCGACATGGGGCTCAATCCCATGAACTGGGAGATCACAACCTGAGCCAAAATGAAGAGCCAGATGTTTATCCAACGGAGCCCCCTGGTGCCCCCTAACGATTTCCTTACAGTGAGGAAACACACATGCTTTTATCAGTTGTTGGAAATTCCAACACAGTATTTGCCAGCTCCTCTCCCTAGGAAGTTGGCTTTATAGGCATAAGAAATTATCCATATAATTCATGTCCCAAGCCACGGTTCTAAGAAAAGAGCCCCAAGATACTCCAACCTGATCAGCTTTTCCAATCACATTTCCATCTTTGCTCCATTGTCCCAGATGTGTGAAGATGGTCATAAAATGGCAGTGCTGTCATGGTTGTCTTTTAATTTTGGGCTTTCAGTCATTCCAGAAGACATGTCAAGGGGACAGCCTCCATTGCAGGTTTGCTAAACCATGAGCTTTATTCTCTAACCGGACAACAAATTGGGGAAATCCTTGTTTAGAAGGCAGTCTCCTATGAGAAGGTAAAGGTTGGATTTTCAGTTTTATTTTCACCCAACATCTGCCTCTTCCTATTTGTTTAGAATCAAAAGAGCAAGATTCATAGGAAAAAAAAAAAGCCATCTCTTTTTCCACAGGCCTGTCCCTTGGGGTAGTATCCTTCCACGTCATTAGATATTTTCAAAGTTCCAACCTTCATCCATTCATTTCTGATTGACCATCAGGCATACTGGAGACATACTTGTCAAACTGTATTGGGACGGCTTGGTCTCATGTGTCACCTCTCACTTTCATTTTAGCTCATGGTTAAGGGGATTGATCACCTTTATGATTTTTGTTTGTTTGTTTTTGCTTAGCTGTCCCTTGAACTCCCCCAGGGACACACTTCTTTCTGCCATTCCCACATGCCCACAGCCATTTGGGCGCACGATCCGTTTCATTCCTGTATGGGATCCCAGAGCCTTCTTCAGCAAGCCACGGGCGTGGGTTACCTCCTGGAGACGCCACTACCCAGAATCCTGTCCTGAATGCCTAGAGTTAGGGATGAATGCCCCCAGGAGT